AGTATAATGTAATATGTAATTTTTCAATCTAACCGGTACAAGTATACCTGTTTTATGAGAGAATATGTCTAAATAATGTGTCGACACTTTTTTAGTTTGTGTCGATATTTTTGGTCCAGAATGAATGGAAAACAGGGTGCAACCATAAAGTGTCGATCCATATATAAAAAGTGTCGATCCCAAAAACATCGAAAACCAAAAGTATAATGTAATATGTAAGTTTTCAATCTAACCTGTACAAGTATACCGGTTTTATGAGAGAATATGTCTAAATAATGTGTCGACACTTTTTTAGTTTGTGTCGATATTTTTGGTCCAGAATGAATGGAAAACAGGGTGCAACCATAAAGTGTCGATCCATATATAAAAAGAGTCGATCCCAAAAACATCGAAAACCAAAAGTATAATGTAATATGTAATTTTTCAATCTAACCGGTACAAGTATACCGGTTTTATGAGAGAATATGTCTAAATAATGTGTCGACACTTTTTTAGTTTGTGTCGATATTTTTGGTCCAGAATGAATGGAAAACAAGGTGCAACCATAAAGTGTCGATCCATATATAAAATGTGTCGATCCCAAAAACATCAAAACCCAAAATTATAATGTAATATGTAATTTTTCAATCTAACCGGTACAAGTATACCGGTTTTATGAGAGAATATGTCTAAATAATGTGTCGACACTTTTTTAGTTTGTGTCGATACTAATTTAAATATCAAGTGTTTTTCCACCGTTAGAAATAACCCTTTTTCATCGGATTAATTTTGTTTGTCGGTACATTATTTGAACATTCTTGTGTATTTATATTTTGGTGTGATTATATTGTGTGTATATTTTCATTAATTATTCCATATTTGCTTCTATGTGTACATATACATTTGAGGATTGTTGAAATATCAATACTAATGTATTTTACATCTGCTTGCAAATGTATCGAAACACATGACTATAGCATTGTTTTCGATGATATCCACAACAAAGTTTTCACACTTTTTAATATTGTGTCTGTACTTTATGTCCAGAATGAAAGAAAAATGTGTCGATACCATTTAAAAAACTGTCGATTGAAAAAACATCGGAACCCAGAATTATAATGTAATAGATAATTTTGTAATATAACCAGTATAAATATACTGGTTTTATGAGCGAATAGGTCTACAACCTATATCGACACTTTTTTAATATTGTGTCGGTACTTTATGTCCAGATTAGAAGAAAAATGTGTCGATACATTGTCAAAAATTGTCGACATTTACACATCGGAACCCAGAATTATAATGTAATAGATAATTTTGTAATATAACCGGTATAAATATACCGGTTTTATGAGCGAATAGGTCTACAACCTATATCGACACTTTCTAATATTGTGTCGGTACTTTATGTCCAGATTGGAAGAAAAATGTGTCGATACATTGTCAAAAAGTGTCGACATTTACACATCGGAACCCAGAATTATAATGTAATAGATAATTTTGTAATATAACCGGTATAAATATACCGGTTTTATGAGAGAATAGGTCTACAACCTATATCGACACTTTTTAATATTGTGTCGGTACTTTATGTCCAGATTGGAAGAAAAATGTGTCGATACCATTTAAAAAAGTGTCGATATTTACACATCGGAACCCAGATTTATAATGAAATAGATAATTTTGTAATATAACCGGTATAAATATACCGGTTTTATGAGCGAATAGGTCTACAACCTATATCGACACTTTTTAATATTGTGTCGGTACTTTATGTCCAGATTGGAAGAAAAATGTGTCGATACCATTTAAAAAAATGTCGAGATTTACACATCGGAACCCAGATTTATAATGTAATAGATAATTTTGTAATATAACCGGTATAAATATACCGGTTTTATGAGCGAATAGGTCTACAACCTATATCGACACTTTTTAATATTATGTCGGTACTTTATGTCCAGATTGGAAGAAAAATGTGTCGATACCATTTAAAAAAGTATCGACATTTACACATCGGAACCCAGATTTATAATGTAATAGATAATTTTGTAATATAACCGGTATAAATATACCGGTTTTATGAGCGAATAGGTCTACAACCTATATCGACACTTTTTAATATTGTGTCGGTACTTTATATCCAGATTGGAAGAAAAATGTGTCGATACCATTTAAAAAAGTGTCGAGATTTACACATCGGAACCCAGATTTATAATGTAATAGATAATTTTGTAATATAACCGGTATAAATATACCGGTTTTATGAGCGAATATGTCTTACAACCTATATCGACACGTTTTAATATTGTGTCGGTAATTTTAAGTAACGCGGTTTTTCTTCCTTCATTCAAAATATTTATATGTACATACAATAGGAGTCATGTTGATACTTACGATATATGGAGATCGTTGTCATTCCATTCCGTCTTCGAAAAAATCAGTTGATGTAGGCTGTGTGCTTGTACTCAAACTGAGCTTGACTTGAGGACATGTTAGTTTGTTATGTCCCTCACCGTTGCAGTACCCACATCGCCTAATTTTCTTCTCGACCTTGTTCTTCGGCACTTCTTTTCGCTTGCGTTGTTTTCGTTGAGGGTCACGAACATTGTTTACTACAATGCTCTGGTTGACTGAATCATTCAAACCAAACGAGTTTTCTAATTCTTCTATTAGTTTTTTCATCTCATCTCTTTCGGTTTTGAAAGACTCGTCTGTCTTTGATGCAATGTAGCATAACCTACTTGACGTTGAACGTAGATCAGCGAACCTTGCCATTTGCATCACTTCTGGAGACACATTCAAATCAACATAGCTGGGTGCAGAAGCCTTCGCATCATTAGTCCACCTACTTTGAATCAAAGTCCCGGGCAAATATGTGTAGTCCAATTGCTTCAAAATGTGAAGTTGATGGCGACACGGAAGTCCAACGGTCTCGAATTTTTTGCAGGAGCAAATTAGAGTTTTCGTACGAGAATCAAAACTAATTTCAAATTTCCTATTTTTTTCTGCGTACTTTGACAAAATATAATGTTGACATTCATCTGATAAGGACTTAATCTCTGCCTCAATCCGGTACAATGTCTCCCGTATAAGTTCATCTTGGAACACACGAAAAGATTAGCGGGTAAAAATCGCAGCGGCATGGCTTTCAAGGTCGACCAGTTTTGTGATCTAGAAGGGCTTCGTATGGGAACTTAAGTAATCCGCTTTCAACTCGTTCATACGCATTCTACTAATTCCATCTTCAATTGCACGAACAACATCTAAATATGTCTTCTTGTGTTTCAGTGCAGTAGCTAGTGAAGTATTCATAGACTCGCACCTTTGTATTGAGCGAATATTGGCAAAGAAATGACCGGTTAGATATGCTTGTGCCCATAAGTGTCGTGTATTTCTCTTCTCAATCAACCATGGATGCTTTTGGACGTTGAATTCTGAAACAACCAAACGCCATTGAATATCAAATTCCTTGGTTGTCCACCAGGAAGCCATGCATTTTGAGAATGCTGCTGTAAACTTTGGGTCACCAATGTTAGCTTGTACATTGCGAGAAAGATACCAAGAACATAATCTGTGGTTAGCATAAGGGATAACAGATTTGATAGCCCTCTGCATTGCCCTATCCCTATCGGTTACAACGGAAATAGGTGATTTATTCATCATGGCTTCTAAAAAATTCTGTAGCACCCACTCGAAAGATTGAGACGTCTCGTCAGCGATTATGGCAGTGGCAAACACAATTGTGTTATGGTGATGATTGACACCAATAATAGGCATAATTGGTCGACCATACAAATTATCTTTGTACGTTGTGTCGAACGCAATTACATCACCGAAGCATGTGTAATCCGATCTCGATGTAGAATCCGACCAAATAAGATTATACAATGCCCCCGATTCATCTACCGAGTATGTCATAAAAAACCCGGGATCATCATGTTTCTTATAATCAAAGTAGGCAATAAGCGCATTCACATCCCCATCGACGATTTCCTTTGCTTTACCTCTTTGAAGTGCATTGTAGAGGTCTTTATGTGTAAATCCAACATTATGATAGCCCCCTGCCTGTTGCGTTAAATAGTTTATTACTTGTGACGTGCCAACACCGACCTCTTTCAATGTTGTTGCCTCATCGATATCAGCCTTACTTACAGCTCTATTAGAACGCATAAATGGTGTCATAGCAGGTGTGCACAATGCATGATTATGTTTCTGATCAGACTTACTTATAACCCACTGATCGTTTGTATTTGTTGCTGTAACTACGACTCTAGCCTTACATCCTGTTCTTGTGACTGGTGTATGAGCACGTTGACGATCAACATTATTGACTTTTGATACTCAAAACCCTTCTTTGGAACAACAAAATTCTTGTGTCTTCACATTCCCTTCCACGTCAAGCTGTGTTGTTCCCTTACGTGCACTAAACCCATGTTCCCGTGCGAATCCCTTGTAAAAGTACCAAGCTTGATCACGTGAACAGAAGAGCTGACCAACAAATCTGTCAGATTCATCAACATTATGTACTTCATGGCATTCCTCGGTTGGCTTAATATTGTCTACATCAGTATTATCCATGGAAAAAATTTTGTTGTGCAAGTTCAGTGCTCCAGGAGTTGATGGAGATGTAAGCAAAGGTTCATTTTGAACATGTTTCAGTCGTGCTGCTTTCAATAGGATGTGGCATTGGTAGTGGTAGTTAAAGGGTGGGTACAACATTAAATTCGCAGTACATATTTAGGTATGTACAATAACTACAAGTATATATTATCATTAAATTTAGGTATGTACAATAACTACATATTTAGGTATGTACAATAACTACATATTTAGGTATATACATCTTTTGAGTGAGTTTTAAGATATTAATTTAGTAATTATAGGCGTCTAATGATTTATTTTTTACGTTACGGTATATATTATTATTAAATTAAAAACAATAAACATATATATTACATATTTATTATTATCTTTGGTTAATATTGTTAAATTTAAATTCTAAATATTATTTTATAAAATATCAAAACAATCAAATAATTTTTTGTGTAAATGAAATTATTAAATTAATATTGTAGGTGGAAAACATGAAACACTATTAAAAAAATTGAAACATAAATTACATAACTTTAAAAGAAGTATCGATCCTTTTTATAAAAAATATGGACTCTTTCAATATAATAGGTAAAAATATGATGTAATAGGTAGCGCTTATATAATGTAATAGGTAGCGTTTATATAATGTAATAGGTAGTGCTTATATTGTAAAGTATCTATCCTTTTTATAAAAGTGTCCATACTTTTTTCACTGTGGAAAACATTAATTTAAGGTTACCTTTTGAGTGAGTTTTAAGATATTAATTTAGTAATTATAGGCGTCTAATGATTTATTTTTTACGTTACGATATATATTATTATTAAATTAAAAATAATAAACATATATATTATATATTTATTATTATCTTTGGTTAATATTGTTAAATTTAAATTCTAAATATTATTTTATAAAATATCAAAACAATCAAATAATTTTTTGTGTAAATGAAATTATTAAATTAATATTGTAGGTGGAAAACATGAAACACTATTAAAAAAAATTGAAACATAAATTACATAACTTTAAAAGAAGTATCGATCCTTTTTATAAAAAGTATGGACACTTTCAATATAATAGGTAAAAATATGATGTAATAGGTAGCGCTTATATAATGTAATAGGTAGCGTTTATATAATGTAATAGGTAGTGCTTATATTGTAAAGTATCTATCCTTTTTATAAAAGTGTCCATACTTTTTTCACTGTGGAAAACATTAATTTAAGGTTATCTTTTGAGTGAGTTTTAAGATATTAATTTAGTAATTATAGGCGTCTAATGATTTATTTTTAACATATATATTACATATTTATTATTATCTTTGGTTAATATTGTTAAATTTAAATTCTAAATATTATTTTATAAAATATCAAAACAATCAAATAATTTTTTGTGCAAATGAAATTATTAAATTAATATTGTAGGTGGAAAACATGAAACACTATTAAAAAAAATTGAAACATAAATTACATAACTTTAAAAAAGTATCGATCATTTTTATAAAAAGTATGAACACTTTCAACATATTATAATGTAATAGGTAAATTTGCAATGCTATCGATATAAATATACCGGTTTACTTATAAAATAGGTAAATATAAGCGCTACCTATTACATTATATAAGCGCTACCTAGTATGTTATTGTACTTTATAATATTTTCGGTTAAATAATATAATATAACCGGTCTAAATTTTAACCGGTCACTTGTTTAACCGGTCACGCCGTATATTAGCCGTTTTTTAGGCGCCGCACCGCAGAACTACCCTCAAGTTGTACTTGGAGTTAAGTGCGATTATTTGATCGAGTGGGAAAATTTTGAGTTAGTTAAGCTGAATAATATTATTTTATCATTCAAACTTTAGTTGAACTTATAAAATTTAAGTAGATTTGTGCGAATATATTTATTCGAGTTTTTTACAATTTAATTATAATTATTAATAATGGTATAATACTGTTGGATTTCATTTTAAATGACTCAAATAAACCATATACGATATACACATATTTATTTATTCTTTTAAACATGTTTAATAAGATTGGCAATGTTATTTCATAAATTAGATATCATCTAAAATTATATAAAAATACTTATTTTTAAAAATATATTTGAGGATAAAATATTTATGAAGTATAAAGGAGTTAAGGAATTGACGAAGGTTTATAAATAGTTATAATTTAAAAATACTTATTTAATTTGTTATGAATTTATAATGATTATGTTCTCGTATATTTTTTTATATTTTCTTATAGTTTAATTTGATTTATTTCGTATATCATAATGTCAACGAATTCGAACATCTTTCTCAATTAGATTATTTTACTTTACGACATCGCGTCTAAAATATATATATTATCTTCTTAAATGTATCTTTTGACAACAATACCGAACAGTAAAATTTTAAATTCAACCTTTTAAAAATATTTTTCAAAATCACTTTTCAAAAATACTTTTTAAAAACAATGTCAAATTTGTATATTACAAGTGATTGAAATTGCTTGTGTTGCTAGTAAGCACATTTGGGGTTGTAGGAATAGGCTCAAGTAGCCAGGGAGTATATGACTCAACTTTGGTTAAAAATCGATTTAAATAAAAAAGAATTAAAGAAATAAAGAAAAAAATTAAAAATTGATTTAAAATAAATAAAGAATTGAAGAAGTAAAGAAGTTAGAGACTAAATCACAAAAAAATCAAATTATTTAGATAAAACTAAAGAAATAGAAACGAAATAGTTTTAATATTTGATTTTTCGATTATTCAAACTTTGAAAATTCAAACTCAAAATTTAAAAAACTAATTCCACTCGACTCAAATAATTTAAAAAATATTTTTTTAATCAAATCGAATTTTGCTCACCCTTAATTACAGTTAAGGAAAAGATAAATATGTCATTAACTTTTTTCTTCTCGAAAGACATATTAAATTTTCCATATCATTTTCTCTCTAATCAACCGATTGCATGTCATTTTTTAAATAAGGTGTATAGCGAGAAAAAAAGAGAGAGAAGGGATTTAAACCTAAAATCCCTTGCACAAAGGATCCTACACTTAATCATTAAACTAAGCTAAGAATTTTCAAAAATTCTATCGAAAGTAATAATTTAACTTCATTTTCATCACTTCAAAATTAAATCAAATTATTTTCCCACTTCATTTGGGAGTAAAAAATTAAATGAATAACTATTTATTTATAAGTGAATCGATGTCCTTCAAATTAATTTTTAACTTCATATAAGAGAATTTGCCTTCTTAAACAAGATTCGACTTAACTTATTTTAGATATAAGATGTCTAAATAAAGAAGAAACAACTAGTTCATTTCGACTCGGAGGGCTAAGATCTTACATCGATTCAAATTCCGACCCGGGCTCGTCATCCTCGTCCAAATCGATGCCGATCGCTCCGTGACCGGCCGGACCGAAAGCCTTGATATGATCCTTCAAGGACCGCTTGTGCTTGAAATCGGACCCGCAAACACAATACCAAATCTTCCCACAGTTCTTCTCGTGGGTTCTCCAGTCCCCTTTCACGGCAAAAGCTTTCACACATTTCCTGCACACGAAGGGCTTGATCCCATGTTTCCTCTTGTAGTGCGTTTGAAGCGTTTTGAAGTCCTTGAGTGGCCTGGCTCTCGGGTGGTCGATGTTGTGCGGACAACCCGGAGCACAGCAGTAGCACGGCAGCCTTAGCATGGCGGTCGGTTGCGTTCCTCGTAGCGAGTGGGGTCCTTTCCGGTACTGAGATCCATGTCCCCACATATGCATCTGCACAACACATTCATACATATATACAATTATACATACATGTATGTATTTTTATGCATGTTAACCGAAGATTATATGTATATATGTATGTATGATGAATCTTTGATATATGTATGTATGTATGTATGTATGTATGAGCCCACTCTACATGAGCTTACAAGGATGAGAAATTACAACATTGCAAAATGCAAACTATTAACAAGAAATCACACTATCAAGGTATCATATATCAACCTATAATATAAATGTATTCATTGAAATTAATAAAAAAACCGAGAGAAAACACATTATTGTCAAGTATGGTATAAAATTCATTAGTTTTACATAAAAATATAATCATTGGATGAATAATACAACCTATTAACAAATGTTTAATTATTTAACATTCAACATCGATAAAAGCAAAAGGAAGGCAGGAAGGGAGTCTGCAGATAATGCATGCATCTGCAGAAGTATCTAAGAGTTTAAACCCTTAAATAAACCCTAATCACAACAATTATAATGATACAAAAGGTAATTGTCAACATTTTTTTGGGGATTTAACATGAGATGTGGCAAATAAAAGTCCTCTAATTTTACAAAGCTGAAGTGTCAGAAGATTAAATATTGCAAAAGCATCTGAATCCCAGGGTGTTCCTTTTTAAGACAAGAGAAATAACTATGTATATATGTATATGTATATATGCATATTTCCCTGTAGCAAACAGTTCTTTGAAGGACTGGAGCATTCAAAAGACCCCAATTGTATCAGTCTGAAACCCTGGAAAACCCTGAAATCATATTATCACTTTAAGCACACTGTTCAAAGCTCCAAGGAGCATCTTCAAGTTCAATATATATGTATATATATATATATATATATATATATGTATGTATGTATGTATACATGTATGCAAAATGATACTTGAGAAAAATCCAAAGAGGCTAATGGATGCTCTCATGCGATTAGGTTAGATATAAGAACGTTTACCTGCAAGTTATTGTACCTATTAAACGTTTTGCTGCAAAGGGGACATGAGAACTGTGTAGGTCCAATGAGAATTTGGGAAGGCGTAGGGATCCAATACTGTCCCTTGCGTATAGGGTTCCCTTGAACTCCAGCACTAGTGTCTGCTGTCAAATCTGCATATGGGGTTGCCTTAGACCTCAGATCGGAACTAGGGTTAGGTAAACCTATGTGTAGGTCTACAGTTACACCATAATCATTGTTGCCATCGTCTGCATTGGCGTCGTCAGCGGTGGTGGAAAACAAGCACTCTTCCATGGAAGATCCACCGCTTGAGGATTCATTGGTTGCTGATAGATAGTTGATGAGAGGAAGAGCTTGTTTGTGGGGAATTTGAGGTTGAGAAGAAGGGTTTGGTTGATTTGGAGTTTGAAAACTTGAAGTCAGAGGGATGAAGTTGAAGCATGGATCTGTCATGGTTCAAAAGATTTGGACAAAATGGAAAAAGAGAAGGAAAAGAAGAAGAGATATATACAAATTTACCTATAGCTTTGCTTTGTACTTAGGCAACTGAAATGATAAGACACATATGTTTATACAGATGGCTACATGCATTCATATTTTGATTTAATTTGACACCTCCCCTGTCCAATAATTACATTAGGTCTTGATTGCATCGCTACCTAAAAAAAATAAACTTTTCTCGTTTCGTCTTTTTTTATCTACAAGATTTAAAATTGAGATTTTACTTAAAACACATAAAATATTCCTTTCATTTAACTTGACAAAGTTTGATGTATATATTCATAGTCGAATCGTGTTTAACTTCTATGCTTCTTTCTCCCTCCACATCGAAAGAAATTCTCCCAACAAAGGTGAAAACTAGGACGGTTCTATTTAGCAGACAAATTGTTTGACTTCAAAATTGTCACATACATAAGAAATATTATATATTCATATATAATAAAGATATGACTTAATTTGTCTAATTCTATCGCTGGTAAAGATTTTAAAAAAAACTCAGTAAAAGTGTCAATGGATTCTTCAAATCAATCAGAGATTGACACTCGAGTAAAATGATAGAAGAAAGCTTGACTACAAGACCCTTTTATTAAAAAGAGACGAAAATTGACTTTAATGATGTAATGATGTAAAGTTAAAGGGACGTAACCCAATGAAAAAAGTTACTCTAGAGATTAAATGTTGATTTTCTCCAAATCACATCGACATGAAGGTTTAGTACCTCAATGTCAGCTCTTCGCCGCTTGTAACTGTAGTATATTTCTAGGGTCGAGTTGTTTGTCCACCAAAACGGTGAGTTGGATTCAGAATGTCGAGAGACAGTTAAGTCCATATACAATGTTTTATGTTAGATCATTGAGATAATTTTTTCATACCATGAGAGGACCGGGAAGAACGTACCTCTAATATACCTTTTATTGTACCCACAACAAACGTTTGGTAACCAATTTCAAAATTGGCAGAGATTAACAAAGGCTTAAAAGTACAATTAAACCACTAACATATCTAACTCCATCTCCCAATATTAACTTTTCACCTCCAAGATTCGAACTCCAAATTTTACCCAAACAACTTCACAGTACTCCCACTTGACCTAAGAGACTAATGAAAGAGATAAACTAGGGTAAGTTTGGCAAAGTTATAAAAAAAAAGGAAACAGATAAAGCAAGTGGGGGTAAAAAGAAAGTGCATGGAAAGTCAAGAAATTACCCTCTGCGACTGCAGATAGGGAAGAAAACAAGAATTAATACAAGCAGGAAGGCAGACACAGAACAAAAAGGAAGTGAGAAACTAGGGTTCCACGTTGCTTTGCCTCCAACTAAGACAGACAGAGAGTGCGACAGCAGTTGTTGTTTCATTAATGTCATCTGTCTTGTAAGTAAATTAAACTAACTCAGATATATTCATACAATTCCCAAAAACAAAAACAGTTCAAAGGTTTTATCTTTCATAAATTTGAACAATAATAGAAGTGTTGTTCTTTTCTTTTTTCTCAGTAGAGGTGGTTGTATCAGTATGCGAAGAATTAACCATCTACGAAATATAATAAATGTATGTACGTTTGAAGTATTTTAATGTTCATAAGTCTAACCAAGTTTTTTCTGGTACAATTAAATCTTACTTTATATTTTAGGTTGGGGATGGACTTGAAACTTCATAAATCATTTGTCACTGCACAGTATCTTGTTGGTCTGTCGAGCTTTTTATGTTTAATTAATATTGAAAATACACCATGTAAGATCGAATTAGGGACGGACGGAACTAGGATTAAACATTAAGAAGAACTAAATTATTGAATTTCAAAAATACAAGGGCTTAAACTAAAAAATATGTTTAATATTTAAACTTATAAGGACTTCAATTGTCATTAGATGAAAAATGTGAGGGGCATGGGTAAGGATGGTCATGAGTCAGGTTTGGTATTTTACCCACTCGTATCCGACCTAAAAAGTAAACCCTTTATCCATACGAGTTTAGGATGGTTACATTTGACATGAAGTTCGATTTATTTTTTAGGTGAACACTCGCATCGATCCAATATATTCATTTTTATTAGATAAAATAAGAATTTAATTAAAAATAATAATATATAGAGATATATTATTATAATTATCTCTAAATATATAAGAGATAATTATAATATTTATCTTAGAACAACTTCAAGTTATAAAAGTGAAATCCGATTGAAATTAAGTTTAAATATTTGAGTTTAGCTCAAACTTAAACTTCTACGTGCTAAGACCAATTCAACTCGATTATACTTCGGGATAAAATCATAATGGAATTTCAAGAGAACAAATATAACAAAGGTAAAACGATGGTCATGATCTAATTGTTAAATCATCAGTTTAAGATTAAAAATATAACACTTTAAAATTTGGGCCAACCTTGGACTATTAGCAATCTGAATTTATTGGTACATTGAACTATTTTTATTTTTTTAATTAATAAGGGAAAATATCGATACAAATTATTGTATTAGAATTTGAGCTTAAGCAAAATAATAGTCCTCGAGGTCAAGTATGATAACCATAGTTATATTTTACTGGGAAAAGTATAAAAATGATCTCCCGATTATAAGACACTACTTTATTGAGTGTATCAATATTAAAAGTTACAAAAACGATCCCATGATTATACGATGTTATTTTGTTGAGTCCCTCGACTATTAAAAGTTATAAAATGATCATTTGACTATTCATATGTTCCAAACTCATCCTTTTCTGTTACAAAATTGACGAACATCTGAGTTGAACGTTAACACGTTGATTGAGATATGATAAAATCATATTTTAATGATGTCTACGGACACCGCCCTTGCTTTCAAGTATTGGTTCAACGGCATAATGTTTCAAACATTTGTTTGACGACATAATGTAAAAATCGATACATAAAATACAACTCAAAGCGGTTATAGGATCAGATTTATCATGTCTCTTAGTCAACATGTTAACGTCCAACTCATGTGACCACCACTTTTTTTAATAGAAAAAGACGAATTTAGAACATATGAATAGTTGGGTGACCGTTTTGTAACTTTTAATAGTCGGTGAACTCAACAAAACAATGTTATATAATCGGAAGATCATTTCATAATTTTTAATAATTAAGGGACTCAAGAAAATAATACCCTATAATCGAGAGAACATTTGTATAACTTTACCTTATTTTATTAGGTAATTAATTTTAATCTAACAAACTTGATCATTTCAATATCTATATCGAAACAAGCTCGAGTTAAAAAAAAAACTTAATCAAACTTGAATTTACGTTTAAATTTATCAATATTTTATTATTGAATTCTAGTCGGTTATACCTTTTAGGCATCATTAGGATTATAAATAAATATATTCGTTTTTTAAAAAATAAAGAATTAAAGTTCATTTGTTAAGTAAATTAAACGAGAACAAAATAGGTTTAATTTATTTATATTTACAAATATTCTCATTTATAAATAGTTTAACTTATATAAAACTCGTTTATGATTGGATAATAATAATATAATAACACTAATTAATATTAATAATTAATATTAATAATAATAATATAATAATACTCATTTATAAATAATTTTATTTATTATTTGGCTGGTTAAATATTTATTATTAGCAGATATATATTAAGATTGATCTTATTTATTCTATTCTGTTCTTAACATCAAGTTTCAAGGAGTTAATTGTAAAATTTTATTAATTTTAAAAAAAATCTTGAGAGATATTTGAATAAACTTCTAAACAACTGGAAGGTTACTCAATAGGGTGAACAAACAGTTAATCGATTTTTTAATTTAATATTCCATTCCACATGATAATTGAGTTGACCAAATTTTATGATCATTATAAACTAAACATCGATTTGTGTTTGTGGATAATTTTTTCATGTCGCTCAACTTTAACTTATGATTTGTAAGTAATTTTAACTTTTTTGTGATTTGTTTGTTGATATTTCCATATTTGTTTGTATTTATGTCAATCCCCAAAATTTTCGGGTAAAAATATTAGAAATTTGTTAAATTTATTAAACGGGTTAAATTGAATTTTTATTAATGATTTTAGGTTAAAATGTAAACCAAAGATGTTTCAAGGACTAGCTTCACAATTTTCCATAACCAAAAGTATCATCTGACACAAAACTTAAATAAAATAGTTATTGGGAGGCTTGAACCTATAACATGGGGATAGCCATTGATGTCTTAGCCATCTAGTCTAGGTCACTATTGATGATTATAATAATAAAAAAATCTTATAATTGTTTAAGGCTCGGTTTTAATCCAAAAAATCAGATATCCCTAATGTGGAACCAAATCAAATCCCTAAATTTGGCTTAAAGCTCTCGTCGCCGCCATCTCACCATCATTCACCAATCTACGGCCAGCGGTGGCTTACACCGCCTATACCAACAGCTCTGTCATCGTCGTGCGACCTCAACCTCGGTTGCCATTTTTGCTAGTCGTCGCCGATAAGAGGAAAATTGTTCGACTCCTCCTCTTCCTGTCTCCACCACCGTCAGTCGTGTTCGTCATCGCTTCATCCACTGGAATTGCCTCGATTGTCTGATCAAAACCTTGGTGGCCTATTGACATAAGATACCATTGTTGTCCGTAGAAAACGCCTTGAAGATAAGCCGGAAACCTAAACCGGAGCCATTGTTTTTCTCGTTTTTGACCGATCCAACAGTCTACTCCTCTCACCGCCACCACCTTTGTGTTCCCCGATGATTTGCAACCAAAACTGTCCATTTGGAATGTCGTAATATCCCAAAATCAGGGTTAGCGACTAAAATGGAATTTTTAAAACTTTGAGGTATGATTTCAAAATATTGTAAAGTTTAGGGACTCATTTGGAAATATTTTTAAGGGATTGTTGGTAATTATTAAATGAAATAAAGGGCAAAATAGTCATTTGACAAGAAAGATTTTATCTTTCATTTGGGGGCTATAAAACACGTGGGAATTGAGATGAAAGAAAGGAAGAAAAAGAAGAGTCTGGAGATGGTGGAGCTATCTTTTTCTCTTCTCGTGTCTTCATTT